CCATTATTTCTTCACGTCATTCACATCGTTCAAAGAAAAAAAAAATACAGAGATAAATTTCATAACACAACGATAATATAATACCGCCAGTCTAGGATACACTCAATTCCGTGAGTAGGACAAACAAACCGTATTTGCGTTTGAGAGCAGTCCGAATAATTGAAAGCATCACGAACGGAAGAGTTGGAACGCATTCCTTATACTGTTTCGTGATGAACAGGTAAATATTTTCATTTGTAATATCAAATTTATATAATTTGAAAAAATATTTTAATTAATATTTATAAATTTATTTTGTAGGCTGCATTTATTAAAGGCATAATATGTGCTACAAATATGAGAACATTTCGAGGTGTACTGAACGAAGGCGAGGTGTTGGGTACGCTGAACCATGAGTTGCATTTGAAGATTGGAACTCCAATCATATTGTTGCGAAACATGGATCATTCTATGAGTCTGTGTAATGGCACACGTTTGGTTGTTACGAAGCTCTCTCCGTATGTTCTTGAATGTAGGATATTGACTGGAGATCACACAGGTGAGAATGTGTTGATTCCTCGGATGAACATAACTCATTTGATGTTAGGGTTCCGTTTAAGTTCGAGCGGAGGCAATTTCCCCTTATGGTTTCGTATGTTATGACCATAAACAAGAGTCATGGTCAGTCTTTATCACATGTAGGACTGTTCTTAAAAAAACCTGTTTTTAGTCATGACCAGTTATACGTTGCTATACGTGTTACTAATAGGAAGGGATTGAAAATATTAGTTTGTGGGGACGATGAGTTACCCAGTAATCAAACTAATAACGTTGTATATAAGGAGGTTTTTAATAATGTATAATTTTTTACCAATGACGAATTTATGTTTACTTTATGAATGTCATACGTATTATGATAACTTATTAATTAATGACCTTTTAATTTTTTAAATTTTTCCAAAACATGTACTAGCTCGTGCATCGCACGGTTACATACTAATTGTATGTACAACAAGTAAACCATACCATATTGATAACATTATTAGTTTTATTTAAGTAATCAGAGAATATGGTGTGATTTACTTGTTGTATATAGAAGATTGACTCCACTATGGAGCAAATGTTAGCTTCATATCAAAACCGAGACAAAACATATCACGAACTATGAGAAAACACAATATAATTTGCCCCAAACGTACCAATCCAGATCACGACCCACAACCCCATTTTTGTTTTTTTAGCTTTAATTTCCATTTAAATAAAGGTTGATAAATTTTGTAGTATTTCAGATCAGTAATTCTAGTGTGTTTGCTAATTACCGCAAATCTATACATATATAAAGAGAGAATCTATTTACTAAAAATAATAACAAGAAAAGTCAACCAGCATTTATCGCATTATATTTTCGGCTTTTTTTATTTTCTTTTCAAATTATTCCCAATAAATCAAGCAGCTATATATGCGACCTAAATTTATGGGTTTTGTATATTTGATTTATGTAAATTTCGACTGATGCTTACAATTTTGCAAAAGTTAATTTTTTTTTCATTTTTATTAAAAAGCCTGATTACCATATAATCGAGAATTTTGAATTAGGCAAAATAATATCGCACATATCTTTTTCTATTTGCAACATATCAATTGTTTATTAAAAAAATTGGATTGCATAGAAATCGGGTTAATTTAGGTAAAATTCGGCATGACAATATTGTAAAAGCCAAATTCCCACATTTTTTGTTAACACACAAAAAAAAAAAAAAAAACAGTTTACCATGAAATTGAGAATTTCGAATTAGGCAAAATACTATAACATGTATCTTTACCTAATTGCAATAGAACATGTTTATTAAAAAAATTGGATTGCATACAAATCGGCCCCCAATTTCCAATTGATAATTAAAATTCAAAAATCTCATATTATTTGACTACTACTTTCTTTAGTTCGGATTTTTTGTTTAAACATAAAACAAAAGGTAGATGATATTATATTGAAATTCAAAATGAAATCGGATTGGAACATCCTATTTTTTTTGTTTAATTCTATAGAATACAAATTTGAAATTGATCGCATACACGTACACAATTTTTTCTTCCTTAAATTAAGTAATTTACAATTTTAAATTAATAAGGCTATAGATTATCATGAAAGACCTTTTACAATCTCCAATATATTTAGCTATGTAATCTTCATAAAACCAGTACAAATCATATCATATATATCCTGATAAATAATTTTAATTGATCTACTTAAGCTATTTAGAATCCTAATATATATAGGTGTCAAGTGTTTATTTTTGTTAGATATGATTTACATAGGGGTACGTTGTTTTCTGTTTAATAATATATAAATTATATTTTGTTTTATTCAAATACATGGTTTTTACATCTTTCAATCATTCACATATAAATGTTTACCTTAATAAAATTAGTCCGAGAATCACACGGGTACTGCACTAGTTAGCTTATAAATAAATGTATTGTTTAAGGGTTTGTTATTATTATTATTGAGATTATTTCATACATAAGCTTTGTGAATCAACTTTTTTTGAAAAAAAAAAAATAGTTTGAAATAAAAAATTTAACTGACTTGTTAATTAATTTAATCAAGCACTTATATTATATAATAGTTTTTAAACTCAATTTAGGAATCGACTCGGGCAAAGTCTTCATGTCAATTGCTGAACTGGATATTAATTTTAAATTAGAACTTGATATTAATTTTTAAAATTATAAATATAGTATTTTTGTCATATAAATATACATAAAAGTAACAAATTAAATGTTTTGTATATAAAATTTATGCATCAAAGTGTGAATAATATTGAATCACATAATAAATATTTACTATATAAATATATAGGATGTGGTTCAAATGAGAACCAAGTCCTAGTATGAGAACCATGAGAATCGCTATTTTTAATTATATGTAGTGTGCTTTAGTGCTATTTTTAACATTGAGATATTTTACTAAAAATAGCAACACCATTTTTATTAGCATTTATGATGATGATAGCACCGTGTGATATTAAAAATAGCATCATACACAATTAAAAATAACATCAAATATGGTTTTCACGGTTCTCACACCAGGACTAGTTTTTATTTGAACCAGCAAATATATATACATAGTTTTTATTTTTTAAGAAATATAAATATAGTGGCGAGATCATCCGGGTTGTCCGATCGGGTCAATGTCATGGGTCGACGGGGTCAAGGCCGATTGACCGGGTTTGACCTGTTCCATTTTTACCTGGTCCGAATAGTCCACCCGAAACAGTTCCACCACCAGGTCGAGTCCCGAGTCGACCCAACGAGCCAGTCCAGATTAAAAACTATGATTATATCAACTAACTTCCAACCATAGTTGAAATTAACTTATGAGTTACCAACACAAATTTCAACTGAAAGTACAAAATGACCTCATAAAACACTTTCCTATATCAATTTAACTCTTTCATCAATTTGAAACTAAATTATTATTTATTAGTTAACTTTTCAACCATAACCTTATCAGACGTTTTTATTATATCAATTAACTTTTTCAGCCATCAATTTAACATAAATTATTATTAAATTATTACATATCAATCAATTTTTCAGCCATAACCTTATCAAACATTTTTGTTGTATTTAACTTTTGAAGTATCAATTTGAAATTAAATTACTATCTATCAGTTACATTTCTGCCATCGATTTGAAAATAAATTATTTTATTATCTAGCTTTCAGTGAAATTTATGAAAGAGAACCTCAATGTCTCGTACTTCAATTTTCAATTTAACAAACTCCACTATTTTTGACATAATATATACTTAAAGAGAAGTATGTTTAGACCCAAGAGCGCTTGGATGAGATGACTTGGGTCTCTTCCAGCTTAACCAGTGGTCTCGTGTTCGAGCCATGGGAATGCAGCAGTGTTAAAACTCTTGAGGGAGAGCTTTGCCGCCCTTGTGGTCGTACCCGACTCGATTCC